AAACTATATATTTTATCTTAAACCGTATTTCTCTTACAACAATAAGAATTTTAGTTGGTCTTGTCTTATACCGTGAACATTTTGAATAAAAATCCACACTTCTTTTTTTTGAAAATTTGAAAAAGTTTTATTTATTTTATTTTTATACTGACTGGAGTACCCGTCCCCTGGGCGGAAGTTATGTAAATTCATGATTAATGAAAAGTTATCTTAGGACATGAAAAGTTGCTTCCCTTATATGTAATTATAAAAACGAAAAAACGCCCATAAAACTGCAAAACATAAAATGTGAAACCGCAAACTTGCATGTTTCTCTGCATGGACCGAACAAACCTTCATGCCAAATTTAGTGAAGGTCCATCAACAGGGGGCGAAGTAGTGGTAAAAAAGGCGAAAAGCGCAAAAGAAACGCCTATGAAAATCACAAAAAGACCACAAAACTGAAAATTTGTATGTATCTTCCCATGGCCTCAATGAAACTCCATACCAAATTTGGTGAAGGTCCATCAATAGGGGAGAAATGGTCGTAAAAAACGCGAAAACGAAAAAAAAATGTCCATAAAAACCGCAACAAAATAATGTGACGGTCAATCCCACTATTCGTTGGTAAAAGAGTAGCCCAAGAGTTGGCGGTGGGTGGTGATGACTAGCTGCCTTCCCTCTAGTCTTACACTGCTAAATTAGGGACGGCTAGCGCAGATAGCCCTCGTGTAGCTTTGTGCGAAATTCAAAAACAAACAAACCATAGCGTCTTGTTTCGGTTGGCAAAATTAACCTTTTGTTGCTCATAATAAAACGTAGAGAACCTGGTCTAATGTTCGAAAATATTCAGTATTTTATTTTAGCTGAAAATATTTGGAATATTTTGATGTTACTGTCCTTCAATGACATGTTTTGTCCTCTGGCGGAAGCGCAGATAGCCCTTGAGTAGTTTTGCCCAAAATTTCAAAACAAACCAATCCTCGGCAGATCAGTCGTAAGTTTATACACTAACAACGTTAAAATCTGGGGTTCGATTCCACGTGGTGGAAAGAGCTCATAAAGCCCATTGTGTATCTTTGAGCTATAAAAACAACAAGAATGGCGTTTAAGAACAGATAACAAATACAAACATAACGTATCTTAAGATTTCTTCACGATGTAACAATAAGAGCTGAAAAAGATAGACAGATAGTCCTTAATATTAGTTCAGAGTGATCTTTCAGTTATTTTACTGTAATTATGGCTGACTTATGCGACGTTTGATGCGGTGAACGATAAATACTTTGTACTCAGTAATAAACGCAACTCGTTTCATGCATGTGGAAATGAGAACCAGATAAAACATATACTATATATTCATATAACGTACTATGTTAGCAACTCACCTTTTGTCGAATGGAATGCGCATCGGTACCTGGCCAGGATTATGTCCTTGGAGTGTCTTTCAGTGCTCAGAACAATCTACAGTAGCAATACTTGTACCCTTTGCTTTAAATTAAAGGAATACTGAAAAACTCGACCTAGATCCAGCTTGACAACCGTATTGAAACTCCCCTACCGTACTGTTATAACTATCTCAGATTCCTAACTCCACGACTGAACTCTATCAATGTAAGAAGTGTACCTTGTACTGGTTGGTTACTTATTAACTCATTGCCGTATCATCATATTTATATCCCATAGAACTAATGGGAGGTTTCTGTTTGTAATCGAAATTGAAACCATCTATTAAAAACACAATAGATATACAAACTTCTGCACCACGGTTTACTACGCTTTAGTCAAGTCGCGTGAGAAACCATCATATACATACGTCAGCCAATAGTCTGTGGCTCACACTTGTGCATGTAGGTCTCACGTAATATCTGATGCCTTCCTATAGGCCAGCCTGGATATGCTCTGACTTGTGTAGAGAAAGTAGAACAGACTGGTTAGGTGTATGGCAGCTGCTACGGAATACAAACTTAGTGTTATAGTTACGGATTTACAATAGTGAATTTATACTTTTGTTATCTGATCATGAAACTGGATAAACGACGCGGCCAAGAATTGATTATCTAATAGTCTCAAAGAGACATATCCCTTTACCAGATTTTATCAAAATCCATTTTACAGCGTTCCAAGCTAAGCCTAAACGAACTGACGATGTATTTGTTTGTTGTTAAGCAGAAAGCTACACAATGGGTTATCTGTGTTGTGCTCACTACAAGTATCGAAACCCTATTCATCTTTATCGGGATTCAGTCCATGTTTTGGACCAGGGAGGGTCAGGTTCAGCGTAGACCTCTTATTTTTAAAGTTATAAGCCTTCGGAGTTGCCTCTGAGCTACTGGAGTGAGGATTGACAAATAGGAATGATTTTATAATATTTAAATAGAACTAAATTACTGGAAAATAATAAAAAACAGAAACTACATTGCCTGAAATAAATATCATATAATCCAAAAATCGCGAAAACTACATTCTCTAATGGAGAAAATTACACATTGTCACGTATAAAAAGCATCAAATTCTGTAATACTTTTAACATACACTTATTGTGTATTAAGTAAATTTTTAACATTGAAGGAAATGCATACGTTGAAAACGCTTTGTATCTGAAAGACAAATCACGTTTAATGGTTTAAAAACCAAGAACAAGTTGAAACGCCATACAATTAATCATGTTAAAATCCAAGTATTGAAAGTGTATGTTGAGTAACTAGGAATGTTCAAATCGTTATTTTCTTCCACGAGTAAGATGAGTCGAGGTTTTCATATTCAAGATTACAAAACATATGGTCATATATTAAAGGATTGTATAACTAGTATGTATGACATAAATGTCAAACAGTGTCAGATGTGATTACCGTCAACAGTAAAGTAAAGTTAAACAGACACAGTTTTTTAAGACAGTTGAGACCCAAACACGCTAGTAATTTTGTTTCTGTACGATTTTTAACCATACGAAGAAAAACAATTTTTTGTGTGTATTGATGATTGCGATTTACATTTTTTTCTTTTAATATTTGTGCAGCTTTTCTTCACACAAAGAAGGCAATTCATTCACTTTCACATCTCTACGCAAGTGTATTTGGGTCAAATGCTTCACATTTCGCATACACGGTGGTATTTTTTCTAGTTTGATTAAGTAAAAATGTTATTTTAATTTTTTGTCTCGTTAGAATTATTTAGTATTATTCCTGTATGTTTCACTTCAAGTTAATGTGAAAAATCCTTAAAGGAAAAATTTTTTTGTATCCGGTTTGCATGTTGCGCATGCGTGGATAGCTTTTGTATTGTTTTTTCAGTACCATAACAGCAAATGCTGTAAAACAATATTTGTCTAAGCTACACATTTAATGTATGGTGTTCAATAAACTCGCACGTGGATTTTTTAATATGTAAGAAACGAAACGATAAAATAATTAACATCATTTCATGTGGTACATAGATACAATACTTTCAGCAATACTATATTAACAGTCTGTGGATGTGCATGTTGTATCCAGCAATACTCTTAAGTTTTATACTGTACATTTCACTCTTTTTATACTAAAACATTAAGAGACTTGTCGATATTCATCACCCAACAAAATAACGACGTATACTATTATAACCGATTTTTATACAATCAACTTGATAAGAGTCTCTTCTTGTTATCACAAGCAAAACTCCATTACACTCAGACAGCGAAAGATCATCTATAAAGGTGATTTTCTGTAAAATCCGACATCTTTATCTCAAGAAAAGCTCCATTACTTCTTTACACTTAGGCAACTGCAAATTTTTCACAAAAGTATTTCTGTAAAAATCCTATTGCTTTTCGTTTCTTACCACAAGAAAAGCTCCATTACTTCGTGTACACTCAGATAACGACATATTATTCACAAAGGTACGTTTCTAAAAATATGACTTCTTTACGTTTTTTGTTACCACTAGAAAGTGTCCATTACGTTTGGCTACACACTTGACATGATATATATAACGTGCAAAGCTGTGTTTATGGAAACCAATTGTCACTGCATTCATGTGCAACATCGTCAAAGTAATTTTGGATTTTCTCTCGCCGTGTAACCCGCATAGTATCCGAGTTGTGTCATAGACTTACTTTAATTAAAGAATTCGAATGCGCTCTTAGACACAGGACATCATAAAAGTGAAAAACAGAAAAACAACCGTTTGTGTAATAAGCTCCAAAATACACTGGTAATATCAGCATGGCAATTGCTAAATAATCGTTGGCCGAAATTTATGTATATTCTCTTATCGGCTACTTATATAAGACTGAATAGTTGGAGTTGACCGTCTCGTATAACACATCCATGTTTTGTTTTTGTTACAATAGGAAACGAATTGTGAATTCATGACCGGACACACTAACTAACACTCTGAATAATCAAGTAACTGTTATTTATTCTGTATTAACCAAGTACTTACATCTGGCATTAAGGTATCATAACTAGATTTTTGGGCTATTATTAACAAATGTCTCAGAAATTAAATGTTTTTGAGATTTTTATGTAAAATCTTATAGTTTAACTGTAATAATGATGTCCCTCGGTGGGATAGCGGCAAGTCTTCGGATTTACAACGCAAGAATCAGGGGTTCTATCCCCCTCGGTGCACACAGCAGATAGCCCGATGTGGCTTTGCTATAACACAACACACAAATAGCGACAAACAAGCATTTGGACGTAGGTCTGAGTGTTGATCCGGAATGAGATGTGATTCATAACTTAGTACGTCTCAGTAAAGCTCTCAGAAAACCTGAAATCCGTAGGAACATTAAATGCCTCTGATAAGATGTACACTAACCCAAATTTACATTAATTCTTTGAAAAATGAAGGAACAAATTTTGCTTGCATTTAATAGTCTTGGTAATTTTTCACTTGTAGGTTGTCTATATATACACCTGGAAAAAAGTTAAGCACCCCCGTGTTTTTTTCAAGTGATTCAGATTCGACGTTCTTGTGA